TGTTGATAAACTGCCACTTCAAACTTAGATGTTTTCTCTTTGCCAAAGCTACACTAACCTTTGTCCAACAGAGGTGACTTTAACCTTCCCAGGAGAGGGCGAACGTGCTCACTCCCAGAGTTCTAATGGCAGCTAGGTGAGACCCAGTCACAAGAAGAAGGAGGTGAGCTGTCATACCCCCTGGCAGAGTTCATCTATCAACATGTGTAGCTGTGGCTTTTCTGTTCAGTTCCGGGTCTTTATTTATGAAGCAGGTCACCATGCAGGTCAATGGTTGATATATAAATGGTGGGATTTTAATAAGGCTTCTAGTCCAATAATTCTGCATATAATGTTTCTCATGATATGATCCAGCCTTGATGTAATGGACTATGTGCAAATAGACATAAGGACTAACACTAAGGTAAGTTGTTACAATGCCCATAGATATAGAAATGTACACTGGTATTACACTTACGAGCTATGGATGTTACAAAACTTTTATGCTATTACTAAAAAGCTTCATGTTTCATTGAGCACGAAACAGATCATCAAGCTGTGATCTAGCACTTCCTCGCCTTTTCCTGTAACATGGTAAGAGGGTAGTATATTCGCTTTTTATCAGGCATCCATCAATTGTCCCGTTACAAACATATACAAACCATCTGCAGTGACCTGTGTGGGTCAGAGGCCTTAGGCCAGGTAACTCCCTGCCTTCCGCCCATCTATTTCAGTCCTCCCCCTCACCACGAACTTGACACGCTGACACCCTATAACACCTTGATTTAATTGGGCTGGGCCAATGGGAGACCTTGTCTTTCAGAAGGGGGCACTTTTTCCTCCAGGCTAGCTCAGAGACTCCCCCAGAGACCAGAGAACCCTGCTGTCACTCAGATAAGAGTTGGAGACTCTCAAATCCTGGGGCGTCCAAGTTAATCCACAGTCTAGTCAATAAAATTTGCTATCAACTGTCCAAATCAGGGATTTGGGATTAGGAAGTGCTAAGGCAGGGATATGGTACTTGTGTATTTGTGGTGGGAGGGTCAGAGCCAAATCCTCAGCCCCCCTGATCAGTAATAGACCCCATTAACAGTTGTAAGAAGCTGCTGATAGCTTGATAACATAAGCTTGAGTAGAGCCAAATGGTGTTAGACATTGTTGCAACATGGTACTGACCCCAGGATAAAACAATTCAACACTTCATGCCAGTTTTCAACAATCAACCTATCATAAACATCTAGCTCACAGATTCAAAACAGAAATTGTACCAATAGGCAATACACATTTTAATTCTTATGTTTGGGGTGGCCCCTCCCCTGAACTGGTCAGCAAATAAAGACACCATGAGTATGCTTCTGAGGTATCAAGTTATGTTTTCTCAAGCCTGTGTACAGATTATGCTGCTTAGCATCTAACTCCCTCTGAAAGGTGCCTCATTATGGGATTGTTGTGAATGAAAACTTTGGCTAAGAGCCCTGACAGAGCCTCTCAAACAAGTTACATGCTGCACTCTGTTGGTTCTTTAGAAGAAATTACAATATGCAAACACTGCACGGTTGGGAGCACCCTTTGACAAACTCGCAAAGAAAGCAAACTGTCTGTTGAGGAATAATTCCTTCTCTTTTGAAATGCTGCTACACTTTGGGTGGACACAATATCGAGGACAATGCAGAGTTTAGGTCAGTTTGATTGTTTTGCGTTTTGTGATTAAGAGTAGACAATGGTGTGGTGTGGCTGGTATGTATACTTCCAAGACAGGTTTTGTTGTGGAGACAAGAAGCATCATTGGAGGTACATAATCATGATAATGAGGTGTTGGTGCACCTTTTCAGTCAAAAGGAAATGTGAGTTTATTGCCTTTAAGATTGACATTTGTAGTTGTCCTGGAATCCATATGAATTCCTGAATTTTTTTTTCGTGCCAGTCCATGAACTTGGAGAAACCATTACCATGACTTTGCTCTATCAACCAATGTGAAAACGATACTTATTGACTTTCGTTGTGTGTAATGGGGAAATAAGTCAATGTCAAGTTGCGACTTTCTTCCAGTGACTAACGTTTTACAGCATGTCACATAAATCTAAATGCTACCTAACCTTGATCAAACTCACTTAGTGACTCAAGGCCTACATGTATAGATCTCCTGACAACAGCTCTGACAAGGGTCTGTGTGCTGAAATAATTCACCAGTTCCGCTCACCGTGAAGCACAGTGGGAATAACAAACGTTGGTACAAGTTTTTTGGTGCTCCGGAAGACGTGTGATGTGGCGCCGAGCCGCTGGACTTGTCATCACCTTTGGGTGCCTACCCTTGTTGGGCAACACCTAGGCAGGGTCATACCATATGAAAGAAAGGGGTAGTTTTTCTGATACCGATTTGCCAAACTCACAGAACATGGTAGAGATCCTTTCCTGATTTTATGATACATAAATATACTATGAATATTCGTAGTATCAGGTGATATGATCTGCAAATCTAACTTAATTTTAAAAGTATCTATGACCTCCCCACAAAAATATGGACTCGCCCGCCAAGCCTGTTTGGGACAGTGGGCGGCGGTATTCCCCATTATCAGCAAGTTTCCCGGTCGGGACAGACGTTCCGATTCCGTCGGCCTCTGACGGCGTGCTAGTCACCTGGATTACTCATAGACCTTGGAAAGCTGGCGATTCCTAAACAATGTTGCGGCGGAACTGGGATTTACACTGGTGGCTTTGTGTTTTTCGTACTTTGGGATAGCAAAACAAGACGTGTGCTGTTTTGATTATTCGGGAGGAAGGCTTTCCCCACCCAAGGTCAGTATAGACGCGGTGCGATTTCTCTCTCTGTTGCTTTCTCACCTATTGATTGCGTTGTGAGCTCCAGTGTCAATAGTGGGTTGGGATAATACACCGAGTTTGGAGCTTTTGGGGACGGAGCAAAACAAGGCAGGCGCGTGACGGGGATCTAGAATCGCCAAACAGATGAATATAACTGATGGCCTTGTACCGGGGAACCGGGTCTTTTCAAGCGAGACCTTGGGATGAAGTGGTGTGGAAACTGTATCCCCCGGGCCTGTATGACCCGAGCGTGGCTTCACTGGCTTATATAGTCACAAGTTTCTTCACACTTTCCTCCCTGACTTTTTACAGGGGTCGCGTCAAATTGTGAAGTGAGGAGTTCAATCGAAAAATAGTGGGGCTAAATACGGCAAAGGAGGCATTCAGTTTAGAGGTCAGGACAACGCACAAAAAAGTCGTCTGCACTGCTAAACACAGTGTGTTACGTCCCGGGGATCAAGTGTTGTTTTCAGCGAGGATTTAACTGACATACCGTGTCTGTACACACGATCGGCCCGGCTGGAAACCCGACAGACTGCTGTCTGCGGAACCAGTGGGTGTTCGGGGCGGCCCTTCTCGATCGGGATCTTTCGTACGACAGCGCTAATTGGGGAGGTGGTGAGGGGCGAATGTTTATTTTAGAATGTAACTGAAATTTGTACTATGTCCCGCGGGCTCTAACGTTTGTCGACTGGAGAAATAATGTGATAGTTACATCAGTCGACAAGCTTTCGTCAGATTGTTGCGTTTTCCGCATTGAGTGCTGTGCGCTACGTGGCAGTCGAGAACAGTGAACTGTTGTAAAATAAATTTAGTGCATATTTTGTGTGGACGGCGAAAGACATAATTTATTTGGGATGACTGATAGGAAAAATAAAACTTTTGGTTACTCGTACATCTCCCGGTAAATATTTGTTTTTAGCGGTAAATGATGGTACAAAGGTCTGGATGCAAGCCACGTTGTGGGTGTATGGTTTCTCATTATTTTCTGATGATGTCTGTTTTATGTGAAGTCACCGCATGAATTTGATCTGTCCCAGAAGAAGGGTTCTGCTTGAATGGTTGACATGACAAAATGGTCTTCTTCGCTAATTTATCTTTGTCACTGACCCTTGATACGAGTATTGAGTTGTAACAGCTGAACTGTAAAATATATAGCCCAATCATGTGTGATGTTACAATATTCGGGATCAAAGTGTGGCCGTGTTGGCTGAAGCGCCAAGTTTATTCCCAAATTGGGTGATATAGTCGCCCTGGTAGCGTAAACGCAACAGCATGTGAAGTTTCGCAAGAGTTTATCATATCCGCACCCTGGAACAAGTCCCGGCGGGTCTGATGGCTAACCCCGCCCTATTGTGTACGGAGGCGGGGCGAGCCACTGTGATTGGTTAGTCATCCCGACAAGGGGCCGAGCCGCCCGCAGTGTGCGTCTCGGCGGGGGAAGGCGACTGCCCCGGTCAAAACATTCCTGGATATCGTCTGATTTGAGGGATTTTCAGTCTCGTTATGTTTTAGTTGAATGTTTTCTAAACGTATTGTCTTGGGCTGTACTTCCGCTGGCTCCTTGGAAAAATTTGTGTTGAAATTCATGGTTGAACAACGCGGTGACCCACCGACTTCCTTTGCCGGTAAGTCAAGATTTAGTCATCGGACGGCCGTGTGACCCGGGACGGTCCGACCAGAAAAACTTTCTGGGGTGTCCCGTCTTGGCGGGCCAGTCAAATTCTCTCAACTTTTGAGCCCCAAACCACGGCCAGTTTTGTCTTCATGTGGGCTGACTTTCCCAGGCTGTTGTCTTCACCGGCCGCACCGGGCTTTCCCTAAGCTTAGGCAAATTTGTCATCTGAGTAGGACTCCATAGGGGTTTACAAACTGTGCTTTGTTTGGCAATTTCAGACGACACGCGCTTGACAACCATGTCGAAGGCATTGAAAACCTCTCTGAGTAGCCAGAGGTGACGTTTTCTGTTTGAACTAGTGTCTGCTTACCCCTCTCAGTGTCTGGTTCGCTGACTTTACAGAGTGCGGGTTTGAGCCGGCCTACCCTGAATGACCAGTCGCCGCCGCTGACTCAAAGGTTTGTTTCTCTTTCCCCCCAGAGTTGGCAAAAGTCCAGCTCCCTACAACGTGGGCCTGCCCGCCTGTGTTGGTATAAAGTTGGTACGCTGGTGTGATCAACACGTATTTTGTTCTCTGTTTCAGACGGTGTGAACCCTGACGGGTCTGGTGAGAGGTCGTCACACTAGCGCTGTGGGACTCCCTTCCCGACTGGAATCGCACGGAATACCCCCAACATGGCGCACAGTCTGCTACAGGGAAAGCGGTTCTACTGCCGAGAATGGGCCTTCAACAAGCTCCTGCATTCGCTGGAGAACAGGCAGGCTGCCAAAACGTGCGGGGCGCTGGTTATGGGAGGGCCCGGGAGCGGCAAGACCGCTCTGAGCACCGAGCTCGTCTGGCCGACCAACAAGGACGGGAAACAGCGCATTCTACACAGAAGACTCTTGGCTTATCATTTCTGCCAGGCCCACGATGTTCGCACACTCTCTGTGGCAGAATTCGTGCTCAGACTCGTAGAACAGTTGTCAAAATCACTCGAGATCGAGGAGTACGCGGAAAAGGTGAAAGACCCCGCGATCCAAGCAGTCCTCCAGCCGGCGCAAGTCGAGCTCAGCCCCGACGAGGCCTTCAAGCGGGGCGTGCTCCTACCCCTCCTCGGGATCAACCCACCCACGCACAACTGTTTCATTCTTGTGGACTCAGTGGATGAATCTTATCTTCTTGAAACCGACGATAAGACCGAGGGGAGCAAGACAATCGCGGAACTGTTGGCCCGTCATCACGAACTCTTTCCCCCGTGGTGTCTCCTGGTTTGTTCGTCACGAAAGCAGAGCAAATCCGTCAACCGGCTGTTCACTGGCTTCAGAAAGGTCAGCTTGGACGACTTGAGAAAATCTCACGCTGTACGCGATGTGCAACAGTACATCCTTGCCAGGCTGGACAATGAAGAGGCACTCCGTGTGCACCTCAATAGAGACACAGCAGAAATGCTCAACCAACTGCACATCAAGAGCAACGGATGTTTCTTGTACCTGGAAAAGGTGCTGGATGGAGTTGCTGAGAACTTCATCATGTTGAGAGAAATCAAGGACATTCCTGGGACCCTCAATGGATTGTACCTCTGGCTCTGTCAGCGTTTGTTTGTCAAAAGGCAGTTTGTGAAAATCCAGCCAATCTTGAATGTGATGCTGGCTGCAAGAAAACCACTGACAGAAATGGAACTGTTTGACTGTGCCTGGACACGTAACACGGCCCTGACCCTGGAGGAATTCCAGCGAAGGATGGACCTCATGTCACGCATCCTCCTCACGGGCAGAGGTAACACCTGCATTCTGTTTCATCATAGTTTTGCAGAGTGGTTGCTCGACGTGAAACACTGTACCCAGAAGTATTTGTGCAATGCGGCAGAGGGGCATGGCATGCTGGCAATGAAGTACACACTGTTTGCACGTAGCCTTGCTCCAGTAGAGGTGCAAGAGTTCGCCGCTCACCTGGTCAAGAGCAATCTTGTCCCTCCACTTGAAAGTTACCACCTTGCTCTATGGTTGATCTGGAGTGGTGCCCCAGTCAAGGATAGCTTGCAGGATGGTTGCCCGCTGAACAAACGCGTGACGAATCTCCTCCTCACAAGCGGTGCATGTGCAGATGGCTCGCCTCAGCATGGCAAGTGCAGAACACTGAGCAATAGGTCCAGAGAGGAAGAGGATTCAGTACGGGAGATGCTGGAAAATGGTGCTACGATAAACCAAGTGGATGCGAACGGCCGTACGTTGCTGTGTAATGCTGCTTACCACGGTAACTTGCAGATCTGTGAGATGTTGATCGCACGTGGTGCCGATCTTGAAGTGGAGGACAAGAGTGGACAGACTGCCTTGAACTTGGGTGCTCGACAAGGGCATGAGCAGATTGTGAGAACATTGCTGAGGCATGGTGCTAACCCTAACCACATGGACCACGATGGGTGGACGCCCCTGAGGTCGGCTTCTTGGGGAGGGCAGGGTGGAGTTGTGTCTGCCCTACTCCAAGCAGGGGCATCTGTGGACTTTGCAGACACCGATCGAAGAACAGCGCTACGAGCTGCATCATGGGGCGGTCATGAAGAAGTGGTGTCCAAACTCCTTGAGCATGGGGCCGACGTGAACAAGGCCGACAACGAGGGACGCACAGCGCTCATCGCTGCCGCGTACATGGGCCACAAAGAAATCGTGGAACATCTGCTGAACCACGGCGCAGAGATCGACCATGAGGACTCGGACAGGCGGACTGCCCTGTCGGTAGCCGCGCTGTGTGTGCCTGCCAGCCAAGGCCATGCCGATGTGGTGGAACTCCTGATTGACCGCGGTGCTAATGTCAATCATGAGGACAAGGAAGGCATGACTCCACTGTTGGTTGCAGCGTACGAAAACCACACAGACGTAATTGAACTCCTCCTAGAGAATGACGCTGATGTCGACCACTCAGACAACAATGGTAGAACACCCCTCCTGGCAGCCGCGTCCATGGGGCACGCACAAGTTGTACACCAGCTTCTCTTCTGGGGTGCAGCCGTGGATTCCATCGACACTGAAGGCAGGACTGTGCTCTCCATTGCCTCTGCTCAAGGTAGTGTTGAGGTCGTGCATCTGTTGCTCCAGCGCGGGCTGGATGAGATGCATCGTGACAACGCCGGGTGGACTCCCCTTCACATGGCTGCCTTCGAGGGGCACAGGGAGGTGTGTGAACTGTTGACAGAGCAGGGTGCACGCACAAGTGAGGCCGACAATGATGGCCGGCAGGCACTGATCCTGGCAGCACAGGAAGGCCACATAGACTGCATCAAGCTTCTGTTGGACTATGGAGCTGACATTGATCACATGGCTCACGACGGCAGGAATGCACTGCGAGTGGCCGCCATCGAAGGCCACAAGGACATCATTCAAATGCTGATCGAAGGAGGGTCAGAGGTGAACCTCGCTGACGGAGAGGGACGTACGACGCTGTACATCCTAGCGCTGGAGAACAAGCTGGAGATGGCAGAGCTCCTGCTCAAGCACAACGCCTACGTGGACTCGACAGACTTGGAGGGAAGGTCTCCGCTGCACGTGGCGTCGTGGCAGGGGCACACAGACATGGTCCAACTGCTCCTGGACAGCGCTGCCAAGGTCAACGGCATGGACAACGAGAGAAGAACGGCTCTACAGTCGGCAGCCTGGCAAGGTCATGCGAAAGTGGTGAAGGCTCTGCTTGAGAGAGGTGCTGATGTGGATCACACATGCAACCAGGGTGCAACTGCCCTGTGTATCGCTGCTCAGGAAGGGCACATCGAGGTGGTGAAAGCCCTGCTGCAGTATGGTGCGAATCCTCACCATGCAGACCAGTGCGGGCGCACGCCCATGCGGGTAGCCATCAAGGGAGGTCACCACAACATCAAAAAGCTACTGGAGTCTGTCGGGGCGCCCTCGACAAACGGTTACAAGGACACGGGCACTAGGCGAAGCACGTCATCATGTGCTACATCCACAAGCTCTGGAAGTGGAACAAGAAACGTGAGCGGAGTAGCTACAAACGGTGCCGTAGCATCATCAAGTTCACCTTCTGAGTCACCAGACTCCACAATCGACCGTTGCAAGTCATCATCTATATCCAATCAGTCCTCCAAAAGTTCCTCGAACTTGACTTCGTCCACAGTCAGCACAATTCCGATATCAGAAAGTCAACAAGGGCTGACCTTCACCCAGGAGATTCAGAGCACAATGAGCAGAAGTCGACGTGAGAAACCAGAGAGGCCAACGCACCTGCCAGTCAAGTCAAAATATGGTAATTCCCTGCAAAAGGACAAACACATCAAGGACACCATAGTGGAGATTCCCCTGACAAGCTTTGACAGCCACTTGAACAACAACAATTCAAACAGTCCAAAGCAAACCAAGAAGCTCCCCCGGAATAAATCACAGCCAGTGATCAACACAAGCCCAAAGCGCCCAGACCTGACTCGGCAAACATCATGTCCTTCTCCACTGAAAAACTTTGTGAACGGCAAAGGCAACTCATCGCCAGCGGAGAATAAGGTCAAACGGAATGGAATCGTTACGAATCCCAACTGCAGTCCGTATCGCAAGTCGCCCGTACCACTGACGGATACGTATGTTTCCCAACGGAGAATGTCGGACCTTGAATTCAAACAGGCGGTGAAGATCAGCTTCGAGGGGCCCACCACAAGGAATGGCTTCAAGAAGGAGACCCCACTATGACTGGTGAGTAGACTCTCCCATCTGTCACTGTCTGAAGAAATGGCACTTTACAACATTGTACACTACAAGGTGGTGTCAAAGTTAAACTTAGGAGAAGTCCATACATTTGTTTTGCGGTATTTTATTTGCCTACCCATTCGCATTCATTTATTCCTTGACGTGCCTCGGTAGTCCTTTTCGTGCCTTGTGAAAAGCTGCTGCAGTACAGATGTCAGTTTAGAGCCACGCTTGGATTTCATTGCTTACATAGAAGAATTCCTTCAGCAACCAGAAGCAGATGGTGCAGTTGAATGTAGCTACTTCATGTTTAAAAATCACTATTAAAGCAATTCCATCCCCTATCCAGTGGGTCAGAGCTAAATTATGATCCACTGCATTTAAAAATTATTATTATTTTTTTTTTTCAAAAACACTACTGACACTTTGCTAGTTTTTAGCGGCTCTATGTTTTCCTTTGTTCAGAGGGCCAGATAAGGTGAGGTCAAAGGACAAGAGGAAGGTCAATGCACTCAGCTTACAAATTGCCTGGAAATTCAATAATTCACCTTTATAAAGGAACACATGCTGACCTTGGGCAGCTTTATGTGGGAGGGCAACAAAGCTGATAAGGGTACACGCCACACCTGTGTGTTCAAAGACCTGGGAAATCTGACCTTGGCAGGTCATGGTTTAACTGTCTCAGTAATAGGTCAAGGTAGACATTGGCAGGGAAAAGATCAAGTGTGTAAAGGAATTAGTTATTAGTCAGGTGTCCTCAGATGTAGGTTACCTGATAACATTACTGCCAAGTGTACACAACAGCCTTGTTTGTTAGGCCCAGGTGCTAAAACACATGCCATTACAGTATGTGGTTTACTTTGAGCTAGATAACCACCCAAGTGATGGATGAAGAGCTATGGAAGGAATTTTCTCATCTATCTTCTTGAACATCCAGACCCTCCTCATTTGTCTTCTTTGTTGTCACCTGAAACTTTCCAGATTCCACCAGAGTCAAAACAAGCTCTCAAGGTTTATTTTTTTCTCAAAAAGCTTAAACAAATTTAAGATCCACCTTTTATACATTTTTGCAGATATGAAACATCAAAACCAAACTAATATCCTAATCACTTTATAACCCTAACACTATGTCAACATAAGATTGAAAGTTGAACGAGTCTAAGTTTTACTATTGCATTGGAAGCACTGTATTACTCACTTTGGCTCTTTTTTCATCACAACAGATGGACAGTAATTTTTTCTTAGCCTACACAAAATTGATTAATTTTATTCTTCCTGTGAATAAATAAGTCGCATTTGTTGGACTGCTGAAATAGCCAAACATTTTACTACGTTCCAATAGTCCAGTTTTGTCACAGCTGCTTTCTGTCAATGGCAGCAGGGCAGAACCACCTGGAACATATGGCGGAAGGCAGCAGGATTATAAAGTGATGTGACCTGCTTCTTTTGTGAACTGCACACAGATAAACAATGAAGTGTGCAGGTCATAACAATATTGAATACTGGTGCTATAACTGGTGTCAATTGTACGGTTCTGGTTTCTTTTACATATAGCAACAGCTTAGCACCCTTCACAGTACTTGAACAGGCAACTCAATTCTTGTATTTTTACTTACAGGATCAGAGGCAGTCTTCCTCCCAACCTGGAAAGACTTCCTGCAGTTGAAAACGTGTTTGGACTGAAACAATCATCCTCCAAGAATGGACTACCAACAGGACTAGGTCGTGGACTTGTTCTCTGGATATTTTTATTTTTTGCTCTGTGAGCAATGAGTGGACTATAGTTCCCTGTTCTTCCCCGTGTGATAATATTGGACTAGATGGCAGACATAGAGCCAGGCCAGTGGGTAGTCTATCTCAGAGGAGGTATGTTATTTCCATGTTTATGTGTACATGTCAGAATGTAGAAGCCTCTATCCTATGGGACAAGAACTCTGTAGAGTGGAGGGAGCTTGTGCTTTGACCTCTTGACACGCTAGCATACTTTAGCTGCCTTAGGACAGCAGCAATGGAGTAAATATATATATACATATATAAAGATAAACCTATATATATATATAGCAAAGCTATGTAGAAGAACTGTTTGCAGATCTCAGTGTGGTGTGGAAATACTCAGATTCTTTTTTGTTCCAATTCCAAGTGGATGCTGTAAATGGTGCGTGGCATTCAGGTGCTGTTTAACAGAGGCATACATAGCAATTAGGGTAATGATCTGCATTGCAAACCAAGGCAGAAGGTCGCAGTACTTGCCATATAAACATTCCAATTGGTTTTTCTGTTGACAGGACCAACTTTGTTGTGCAAGTACATTTTACCTCCACAAACCACATTCGCAGGTGCTATTACTAGTAATACCACATTGTGTTGTATTTAAAGTACAAAAGAAAACTATGCTTTTCCAAAGCTTGCAGTCTAAGAAATGTAAACAAATAATCGTCAGTTAACAGTAATATATTTATGCAGAATGAGAGGTTCGTGTTCTCTGTGATAAGACGGATGTGCTAACATTATCAAAAAATACCTACAGCATTAGGTTTGATCCTTGCAAAGACATCACAAGTCAGAACCACATGTAAGCCTCATCTGGCTGGATGTCTTCCAAAGTTTTCTTTGGGAGGGGTGTAATTGTGGCAGGGAGGATGCCAAAAAGCGGAAATGATTTTACAAGAACATGCCCGAACATGGCATGCGGGTTGGGTTATCTGAGAATGGGACCGGGATTCGTTCGGGATGGTTGCATACTCTGCCCATCCTTCCTTGGTAACCGGATTCCGATCTGAAATTCGAGAATGACAGTAGTTCAGAGATGAACATACAAATGTACCAAATCCTTCCCCATTAATTACTTGACAAAATGTATCACTACTTTTGTACCTCTGAAAACTAGAAAATAGTGTTAACTGTTATTGTGATGACAAATCTTACAAAAGTTTAACTTAAACAAAATTCAATTCATATTAACAACGAGTTATATTTAATCACCTGTAGCAAGGCATAAAAGCAGCTTCTGATATGCTGGTCCCTTCCTACGACACCTGCTTTCAGTTATAACAGCTTGTAAAACATCCACTTTAGTGTCCTGGAATTCCTCTTCTGACCTCCACCACACAAATTCCAGTTGAACGTTGTCAGGCAAGGCCAGTATCTTGCAATCGCCTTTTTAAAATGTTTGGATACTTGCAAACTTTTGTGGTAAGGCAAGAACAACATAACAATATGCGAACTGTTGTACCAGGACTATAGACAGTAACAGTAGGTTATCATACACATGATATCATACATGATGTAATCTTAACATTATGTCATACATATAACAAGTGTCAAACAAAAAGTTGCCAACATGATAGCATTTAGGTTCAACCATAGAATCTGCACTGATAACTAGTAAAAATATTTAAATTCATCAAGTGTGCTTAGAGAATGGACATGTACACTGTACTAAATAAGGGCAGCATTCAGTTGCCTGCACTAATTATTCAAGAGAAGAGCACATTCCGTTTGTTTTCAGTTTTGATACCTTTTGTTGCAGTTTCACAAAGGTGTATTGTGAGGTATTTAGAGGTATAACCCACCACAGTGGAGAATCTAATAATGTGTGTAGAAATGTGTTGACTGCTTTTTGAAGAGATTGTTATGAAAAAGAAGTCTGAATTTGGTTCTGCGCAAGAGAGAAATGACTGTTCAAATTGTACATATAAATATATGATCTTATTGTTAATATTCTGGTTGGATAATTTTCAGGTTGCTGTATACAATACTTATTGCTATGTAATAAATCACAGGCAATGTAAATTGTTGGCTTTTGTGATGTACTTTAATGTGTGTTCTTTCGAAAAAATGGATGCAGTCAAACCTGTATGAAGTGACCAACTCAAGGGAAGAAAATGCTCTCAATATAGATGAGAGGCCATTATAGACAAGATTCAATAAGAAGAATATCCTATTAGAGGAGCCACCAAAAATGATTATCTACAAGCCAGATGGGTCACTAGTACAGGTTTGACTGTATAAATTTTATGTGTATAATGGAATATATTTCCTAGCGTGGGAAGCAGCCTCTTGCTTGGCCTGAAAACCTAAGCCTGGGTACCAGACTTTCCAGGGCCTTGACTCCAGGGCCAACATTGGCTAACTCTGTGCCTAGCGTGTTATGGGTCTGGCATCCAGGCTAGAAAACCCAGACACTACAGCTTGGACTAAAGTTTACTAAATCCTGCATCACTGAAGAGGTGTAGTGAGTGTACAGCTGCCTTTCCAGTCAGACTTACAGGTGTATTCATCTGAGATCAAAGGGGAGTATTAAGGCATGACATGATGGCCCATTGGGGTCAAACCATGTCTGTGAAAACTAGTCAGACATGAGAATAGCTTTCTGCCAAATTGGAGAATTACTACTTGACCAGTCTTGATCAGCTGCTGCCAAAGATGCAGACTGGTTGGATTTGATGTTTCTGACATACTTTTAAAACTACTACAGTCATGGAACTAACAGGAAGGATTCTGATGACACCTACTGATGAGACACACCAAATCTTTTAAATCTTTCCTGTTGTCAGTTTGTGTTCCATCCAGACACATCCGGCACCCAGACCTTCCTGAGCTATGGGTGTAACATGCTTGTTTTTCAGGTGTAATCCTGGGGACAAAGACCCAACTATCCTGTGCAGCACAGTGTAAAATCAGGCTGGACAAGGCAGGGCAGCTAAAAGATGGCAGCAACAACCCTAAACTGGCCTTGCACCTACCAATAGCACCGGAAACCTCTCAAACTGAAAAGGACGCAGCTATATAAACCGGAGAGTGTCTCAGTCAACCGTTGAAGACACTATTTCCTGGCTTGTACAGATGGAGTGCAGGACAGTACACCAGGTAGCTACATGTATGTAGGAAGCATTAAGACTGGTGTTTGTTTAGACAGTTGAGTATTCAGTCTGCACACACACCTGCCTTGTACTGGTCGTAACTGTTCATCTGTGCACCAGACCAGTGTTTCCCATGATGCCAATCAAAGCCCTGGCTCTGATCTACATTTTTGTGGTTTAACCTTGACATGGAGGTCAAAACTAGAAGGAGTCAGTGCAAAGACCTGGAAGCTTGCTTGTCCACCAACACTTGGCAGCAGCCCCATGCCTAATATGGGAACCATAAGGGACCAAGAGTGATGAAACAATTTGGGGCCATCCAGTATGGTCCAATATGAACTAAGGGATCTAATCTGATAAATAAGAACATCATGTTTCCAGAACATTGTATCACCCACATAGATAGGACCTTCCACTTCATTTAATGAGGCAAGCAAAATATTACTTATCCAACAACCAGTATTCAGGCAGCATTCGTTGCAAGGAAAGTCTGTCAGTAGAGCCCTTTGACAGCAGGCCACCGGGCTTAGCTATGCCTGCTATTCCTAACTTCTTGTTTCCGTCCAAATGCTCCAGAAGTAACAAGGAGGTGCTGAGAGGGGACTGCAGACTCATAGACTCCCATACTTCCCATGCATACAGCGTGGCACAAAGCTGCACACCACTGCCCTGCCAGGACTCTGAAGGACTAACCAAACTTTCCCTGTGTGCTGATGGGGAGATAGCTGGATTTGTGCAGATGTGGCCGACATTTCCAGCGTCGCCAAAGTGTTTAAAATCGAGATCCCAGAGGTGCGGAATGTTTGTTCCCTGCCAGTACAATAAACAAATCTCTGTGTCCAGCAATGTTACATTCTAGACATTCCCCCTTCTGACGTCCAATACACTATTAAGTGAAGCCATCTGCCCCAGGGAACCTTCTTTACAAATGTTTGGACATCAAAGGGGAGAAAATTCTTCTAAGAGGAAGACAGATGGATTAGTTGAGTGAAGGTCTCTGAAAAACATATGAGATTTTAGGGGCAGGCATGGCAGTTCAGGTCACCACTAAAACCAGTATGACTCTATGAAACTGGAACATTTGGAGTCAGTGAATCTTGGCCCGTTATTTCCTTACAATGTCTTTTCACAGCACAGGTAATAGTAGAAGTAAGGGTCACAAGAGATACAAATCAATCTCGCTATTCAGATGCCACCGGAAACTACCAGATTGCCCTATATTGTAAGTTACTAACGTTCTTATGTATCCACACAGGCTTCAGAAAAAAAGAGCCATCTCCTGATAACAATCTTGTGTTGAAAATCACTTGCTATCCACACCATTTGGCCTTTTGTTGGCCACTAGTCATGAGCTATACCTGCTCACTAAAGCTGCTTTCAGAGAAAGTCTTTGCACCTGGATTATCACACCTTAGCGGACCTGCAGATAAAGGTTCGCGACACATTTCTATCCCATTACACCCCGTTTGGAAAGTCTGCTGGCTGGCTCTGCCTTTTGAAGGGGCCGACATTGTGCAAATAAGAGGCGCAAGCTCAGACAGTGGATTGTTATCCCGAATTTGTACGCCCTTTGAGAAGCACGAAGGGCGGTTGAAAGGACCCAGTTTCTGACCTCATTTGTACTTCCCAGTCCCCTTTCCCACCCTTGCTTTAGTATCCCACTTAATTGTTGAAACACCACTATCTTTTACACAGTTTACCAAAGGAATTCCCAAGTATTCTGCTCAAATAAAGGTGCTTCCTGTTTTTCGCCTCCTTAATACATGGATTGTACAGTGAAGAGCAGGATGAGGTTTCCAGCCACAGGAAGTGCCTGTAGAAGTGAGAGGGGTTTGCTGGAACCAAGCCTGCACTCTACACACACTGATGCCTTTGTACAAGTACAACATAACCGTTGCAAAAGAATTATGCCTCTCAGTTTGTAGCCCTGCTGATATCCTTATCAGAAAGTTTGAAGTTTTCCAAGGCCAAACTGCCAGTGAGGTAGATATGATATTTTGGAAGATTAGTTATGATGTATGAGTTTTGGCAATGTCAATGATAGTGCCTCAAGGCCAACAAAAGCAAAAAGAACTGCATTTCTTGACCTACTTTTTCAACCAGTATAACTCTTGGCTGGCTGAAAACTGACACTATCTTAAAGCATTGAAGATTGAGAAACCAGTACATTACTAGTAATTCATATTGAAGATTTAGAAACAAGTAAAACTACTAGTAATTTATAACATTTGGCACTTCAAACTAAGGTAACCGGTATCTTTTCACCACATTATCATGTAAATTGGTAGCACAAGAGCCCACTTCTATTTTTAACTCAAGACTATGTACTTTTGGCTTACAAACTCTGAAAATCTTCATACAATTTGTGTGACTGTGAGGACTTGCAACAAGATAAAGCCAACTTCTCACAAGATTTAGTTAGTCATAATCTCAAAGCATACGGTGATTACACTCAACACAAACATATGATACGCCTGGAGTGGCTTCAGCTATGCTTTATAGAATTAACTCCATAGCGGAAAACCAGGCACTTGCTCTGTTGTCTGTGTCTTTGTCCTGTAGGACCGGGGACAGACCCTTCTTTACTCCTCTTTAGTAGTATGTGGGTTTGCTCCTCTTTGTCGAGCAATTAACAGCTGAATTTGGACAGCACACAAGCTATTTGCCTGGCCCTGTGTGTCAGGATTTTATATTGATGATGCTTCAGCCTGATAGATTTACTTAAGAGGGTCTCTGCAAACACGGAATGGTCTGACCTACGACCTGGTCTTTGAAACCTGGCGAACAAACACACCTGGCGATGAATAAGTTGTTAGAAAGTATGACAGCGCTCTGCAGCCAAACCTTCAACATCGCTAATGCTGCCAGTCAAGCAGAAAGCTGGAGAAAAACGACACCCCCTCCTCTCAACACCTGAAAGAAATTCTTCCGTAAGTCACCTGACGCAGCTCAGCCTGTTTGTGCATGGAAATATTCCATCAGCAGGGATGATACACCTGCAGCGTGCACATGGCAGGTTGATGTAGTGGAATAGCGGAAGGGTGGGGACAGGCACACCTCCAACAGACAAACAAGAGGTATTTTCACAGGGAGGGGTGTCATCAAAGGAATGTTGCCACACCAATCATTTGCTTTCCCATCGTTACAACCACTATGTACCATTTGGCGCACATAATCCTCACCCTTCTGCGTCACTTGAAGTATTTACCAGTACTTTGTGTTACAATCCTATTGTGCCTGTAACAACAGATTTATTTTGTAAATCTCGCCGGCTCCTCCTCGTTTGAGCGCTTTGTTGGCACACATGGGCCACCAACAATCGCAGCAGTACCCTGTTGACTCAGAGGTGAATCACTTCCACCCGAGGCACGTGTTTCTGCTATTTCGCCGGAAGCGAGGTTCCCCTGGAGCCAACAATGAGAAGAATTTGACATAATTACCTCCCCATCTGGTTCAGTGCCAAGTGTCTACAGGTCAAAAACAAGATACATAATCAAAGTTTTGAAGCCTGGCAGAGCATTGTTCAGCTGCTTGTGGTGGCTGAAGTGCAGTTAAAGCAATCCTAAGGTTCCCACCTACTAATTGTAGTCGCTGTTTACAGATTAAACTTGGGATACAGAGGGGAGGAGTGGCAGGGATTATCTGTCCTTGAGGTGTTCAGTTTTGGCAGGTAACAACAACATGCCAGTCATTTGATTCACTGCAGATTCTTTCGTACCTTTCCTTTAACTTTCTAAAAGGTACCAAACACCTCTTAAAATTAAGTTATCCCTACTCCAAAATGCTGGTTCAAAAAAGGTACCTACTGAAAGAGTCAAGTAAGGGAGATGGATTTGCGTGATGAAATATTATCAAAAAAGGAATGCCTCACGAAACTATGATTCTTTATGGATCCTTTATTACAAACTGTTCTTTATGAGACAAGATTTC